ATTCATTTTTATCCTAAATTTCCCATCCTGTTGCTGTATTTGAATTTCCTATACAATTGCAAGTTTAACACCTTGAACCAGGAGACATCCTGGAGCAGAGGCTGACTACCAGTGCGTTACGCCCACAGTGACAGGGGGCAAAAGCAAACCCTCCGTTCAAACACCAGCACTAAGCCCACACTACTGTAACGGCCAGAAAAACACAGCATCCAATGGCTGGCTGTCACATAGCAACATCACTGGAGAGACTCACCTTGCTTTTTAAGAGTGTTTTGGGGTGCTGGGTGTGCGGCTCAGTGGTGGCCTCAGTTCAATCCCCAGCACTGACAACAAAAAGTTTTGACTATGCTTGACCATTTGTTCCTCAACACAAAATTTTAAAGTCAACCTAGCAAACACACACACACACACACACACACACACACACACACACACCCCTTCAGAATTTTTATTGGAACTCTTTTGAATCAGTAAATGAATTTGGAGACAATTTTCTTTTCTTCTGTTCTTGAAACAGGGCCTCACTATGTAGTTTAGGCCTTGACTTCACTACGTAGTGCAAGCTGGTCTTGAAATTCATGGTGATCCTTCTGCCTCACCCTCTGAGGTTCTGTACTTACTGGCGAGCTCCACCATACTAGCTTGACAACTGTCATGCCATAATTGATATATTAAGCATCTCTATCTATCAAATAAATATACCTGAATAAGCTATATTTCCCCCTTCTTGGTCTTCCATATTGTTTCTCAATAAAATTGCATAATTTTCTCCAAAAAGATTTTGGCCATTTTGTTACATTCATTCTAAGTACTTTAGATGATTCATTGTTATTATAAACAGCAACTTAAAAATTACATTTTCTTTCTTTGTATGTGTTTTGTACAGGGTCTATACAATCTTACTACGCAGATTGGACTCACAGTGATCCTCCTGTTTTCAGCCTCCCTAGCACTGGGATTATAGGCACGCATCACCATGCCTAGGCTCTTTCGCTGTCTCAGCAAGCCCTGGGGGCAGGGCCAATACAGCATGCTACGGATCAAACCCTAGTCTCTGCACCTGCCTAAGCAGGCTTAGTCTGCTGAGCTATCTGGCTGGCCCCCACTTTTTCTTTGTACAAGGGATCAAACTCACAACCTTGCGCTTGCTAAGCAGGTGTTTATGCCTCTGAGCTATCTCCCCAGCCCCAAAATTACATTTCTTTTTTCTTTCTTTCTTTCTTTCTTTCTTTCTTTCTTTCTTTCTTTCTTTCTTTCTTTCTTTCTTTCTTTCTTCTTTCTTTTTGTGGCAAAATGAGTCTTTATTTTGGAAAAGACAATTGAATTGGGTTTTGGTGGAGAACATGGGCAAGCAGGGGTACCCCAGGCAGTAACGTCCCCCCAAGGGTGGGTTGAGGGCTAAGCTGAGCCTCAGGTGGGTCTCTTGTTCCCAGTGTTCCCTTGTACAGCTGTCTTCCCACAGGCTCTGGGGCAGCCTCCTGAGAGGGCTGGGAGAGGCTGCTGTGGCCCATTCACTTGGGCAGGACATCAGAGGTCTCAGACACCAGTTTCCCATCATGGGTCTCGATCTTCTTCACAACCACAGCAGACTTGGTGCAGGTGAAGCCAGGGCTTTGGAGGCTCCCAAAGCCAGGATTGTGAGGCCCGCATAGGGTGAGCTCACCATTCCTGCATAGCCACTGGCGGTCCTTGCGTGGATGCTCAAGTTCTGCACCCCAGCCTCCAGCCTGTTCTCCTCGCCCTCCAGCAGCTTGCGGTAGGTGGTGATCTCGATGTCCAGGGCCACCCTGATGTTCATGAGCTCCTGGTACTTGCGCAGCTGCTGGGCCACATCTTGCTTAGCTTTCTGCAGGGCAGCCTCCAACTGGGCCAGCTTGGCGTTGGCATCCTTAATGGCCATCTCCCTACGCTGCCCGGCATCAGCGATGGAGGCTTCCCGGGATGCTCTCTGGCCTTTGAGGGCCTCAACCTCCACCTGCAGGTGGTGGATGCTGTGGTTCATCTCAGGGATCTCAGACTTTGTGAGACGGGGGTCATCCCTGTGTTTCCCAGCTAGATAGAGTCTGCAACTCTTCATACTTGATCTGGTACATGCTCTTGGCCTCGGCCCTGCTGTGGTTGGTGAACTTCTCATACTGGGCCTTGACCTCAGTGATGATGCCGTCCAGGTCCAGGGAGCGGCTGTTGTCCATGGACAGCACCACAGATGTGTCCGAGATCTGAGACTACAGCTCACGTATCTCCTCTTCATACAGCTGCCTGAGGAAGTCGATCTCATCAGTCAGCCCTTCCAGGCATGACTCGAGCTCCACCTTGTTCATGTAAGCTTCATCCACATCCTTCTTGATGAGGACAAATTCATTCTCCATCTCTGTAAGCTTGTTGAGCTCATCTTCAAATTTATTCTTGAAGTCCTCCACCAGCCCCTGCGTGTTGCCAAGCTCTACCTCCAGCTTCACTTTCTCCTGACCCAGTGAGTCCAGCTGCTGCTGGAGGTTGTTGATGTAGCTTTCGAACATGCTGTCCATGTTACTCTGGGACGTCTTCTGCTGCTGCAGGAGGCTCCACTTGGTCTCCAGCATCTTATTCTGCTGCTCCAGAAACCAAACCTTGTCAATAAAGGAGGCAAACTTGTTGTTGAGGTTCTTGATCTGCTTCTTCTCCTGAATATGCACGGCCTGGATGTTGGGGTCCACCTCCAGGTTCAGGGGGTTCAGCAGGCTCTGGTTCACCTGGAAGGTCATGATGCTCGCATGCCACCAGCCCCGCCATAGCCACCCAGTCCCAGGCCACCCTGGAAGCTACTGCTGCTGCCCATTCGGGAGACACTGGAGGAGCTGATGCGGGATGCAGGCCCGCCGGTGTAAGAGAGGCTGCTGAAGGCCCCGGGGCCGGAAGTGGACACCTTGTAGGACTTCTGGGTCACCCTTATGGACATAGTGGAGACTGGAGTGGAGGCAGGTGAAATGAAGATGGAGACTGGAGAAGGAGCCTGGCAGCCGCTTCTGGATGGTGGGCCAAAATTATATTTCTAATTGTTTCCAATGCATAGAAATTCCATTGTTCTCTGGTATTAAAGACATCTAGCAATCCTGCTAAACTTTATTAATTTTGATACATTAAGAGGTTCTTTTAGGTTTTCATGTCTGTGAGAAATAATGGCTTAAGTTTTTCTTTTTTCCTTTTTTAATTATTTTGTTTTCTTTGGTTCTGCGCAGAGCCTGAATGCTCCTTAAGACAGATGAGCAGAGCGGTCATAGTGGGCATGCAAGTTTTGTTTCTAATTTTACAGAGAATAACCATCATATTTCACCAAGAGAGCTCAGAGGCTGGTGGTAGAGAGCCCTTAACAAGGCTGGGAGTTCCCTTCTATTCCTTGTTTATCAGTAGGTTTTAATTATATAAGTTCCTTGAATTTTATCTCTTCCCCTGTAACTATTGACACTGCTCTTTCTTCTTGAACCTTAGCAACTTATTCCCACAGATTCCTTAGTTTTTTCCTTTCCTTATAACCCTTTTTTAGTTTTAGCATTAGGTTATACTGGTTTTGTAGAATGAATTGGGGAGTGTTCCTTTTATTTTATATTACCTGGAGAAGTCTGACTTAAAATTAAAATTGTCTGTTCTTTGCATGTTTTGTAAAATTTTCCCATAAAATTGCCTGTAAGCACTGTGATTT